ATAAACAAGTCTAAATTGAAAACAACGTTCAAACCTATGATTGCGTTGGATAAAAATCGCATTTTTTATACGTGTGCATGCAAAACAAATTTCTTGTTAGAGGGGTCTAAATACAGCACAAACAACATTTTCCAAAAGACCAAAAAAGTGAAAAAGTATATTTTAACAAAACGCATTTGACTAACAGGTCGAACAACAAATGTTCTTAAACCGTGCTGACCGCCATTGGCGATTGCCAAATAAATGGATCACCGATGTAATATATGGATCTTAATTAAAAATTTAATACTAAAGAGAAAACAATAAACTTGCGGAAAAGATGATATACCGCAAACAAAAGGTGCAAAAGTTTTTGTACACCATATCCGGATTTCGACAATTAATGTCTCTTCAGTGATGTTAGGAATCGAAACGGTATTTGGAAAGCCATACAATTTACCTCAATTTAGGATAGTTTTGAGGAGTCAAAATAGGTTGAACGGATCATATAAACCCGAAGGTAAATATAATACAAGCCCAAACGAAAAATTATAAACAAGTCTAAATTGAAAACAACGTTCAAACCTATGATTGCGTTGGATAAAAATCGCATTTTTTATACGTGTGCATGCAAAACAAATTTCTTGTTAGAGGGGTCTAAATACAGCACAAACAACATTTTCCAAAAGACCAAAAAAGTGAAAAAGTATATTTTAACAAAACGCATTTGACTAACAGGTCGAACAACAAATGTTCTTAAACCGTGCTGACTGCCATTGGCGATTGCCAAATAAACGGATCACCGATGTAATATATGGATCTTAATTAAAAATTTAATACTAAAGAGAAAACAATAAACTTGCGGAAAAGATGATATACCGCAAACAAAAGGTGCAAAAGTTTTTGTACACCATATCCGGATTTCGACAATTAATGTCTCTTCAGTGATGTTAGGAATCGAAACGGTATTTGGAAAGCCATACAATTTACCTCAATTTAGGATAGTTTTGAGGAGTCAAAATAGGATGAACGGATCATATAAACCCGACGGTAAATATAATACAAGCCCAAACGAAAAAATATAAACAGTCTAAATTGAAAACAACCTTCAAACCTATGATTGCGTTGGATAAAAATCGCAATTTTTATACGTGTGCATGCACAACAAATGTCTTGTTAGAGGGGTCTAAATACAGCACAAACAACATTTTCCAAAAGACCAAAATAATGAAAAAGTATATTTTAACAAAACGCATTTGACTAACAGGTCGAACAACAAATGTTCTTAAACCGTGCTGACTGCCATTGGCGATTGCCAAATAAAAGGATCACCGATGTAATATATGGATCTTAATTAAAAATTTAATACTAAAGAGAAAACAATAAACTTGCGGAAAAGATGATATACCGCAAACAAAAGGTGCAAAAGTTTTTGTACACCATATCCGGATTTCGACAATTAATGTCTCTTCAGTGATGTTAGGAATCGAAACGGTATTTGGAAAGCCATACAATTTACCTCAAATTAGGATAGTTTGAGGAGTCAAAATAGGATGAACGGATCATATAAACCCGAAGGTAAATATAATACAAGCCCAAACGAAAAAATATAAACAAGTCTAAATTGAAAACAACCTTCAAACCTATGATTGCGTTGGATAAAAATCGCATTATTTATACGTGTGCATGCACAACAAATGTCTTGTTAGAGGGGACTAAATACAGCACAAACAACATTTTCCAAAAGACCAAAAAAGTGAAAAAGTATATTTTAACAAAACGCATTTGACTAACAGGTCGAACAACAAATGTTCTTAAACCCTGCTGACTACCATAGGCGATTGCCAAATAAACGGATCACCGATGTAATATATGGATCTTAATTAAAAATTTAATACTAAACAGAAAACAATAAACTTGCGGAAAAGATGATATACCGCAAACAAAAGGTGCAAAGGTTTTTGTACACCATATCCGGATTTCGACAATTAATGTCTCTTCAGTGATGTAAGGAATCGAAACGGTATTTGGAAAGCCATACAATTTACCTCAATTTAGGATAGACTCTTGAATTTTGAGGAGTCAAAATAGGATGAACGGATCATATAAACCCGAAGGTAAATATAATACAAGCCCAAACGAAAAAATATAAACAAGTCTAAATTGAAAACAACCTTCAAACCTATGATTGCGTTGGATAAAAATCGCATTTTTTATACGTGTGCATGCAAAACAAATTTCTTGTTAGAGGGGTCTAAATACAGCACAAACAACATTTTCCAAAAGACCAAAAAAGTGAAAAAGTATATATTAACAAAATGCATTTGACTAACAGGTCGAACAACACATGTTCTTAAACCCTGCTGACTGCCATTGGCGATTGCCAAATAAACGGATAACCGATGTAATATATGGATCATAATTAAATATTTAATACTAAACAGAAAACAATAAACTTGCGGAAAAGATGATATACCGCAAACAAAAGGTGCAAAGGTTTTTGTACACCATATCCGGATTTCGACAATTAATGTCTCTTCAGTGATGTTAGGAATCGAAACGGTATTTGGAAAGCCATACAATTTACCTCAATTTAGGATAGACTCTTGAATTTTGAGGAGTCAAAATAGGATGAACGGATCATATAAACCCGAAGGTAAATATAATACAAGCCCAAACGAAAAATTATAAACAAGTCTAAATTGAAAACAACGTTCAAACCTATGATTGCGTTGGATAAAAATCGCATTTTTTATACGTGTGCATGCAAAACAAATTTCTTGTTAGAGGGGACTAAATACAGCACAAACAACATTTTCCAAAAGACCAAAAAAGTGAAAAAGTATATTTTAACAAAACGCATTTGACTAACAGGTCGAACAACAAATGTTCTTAAACCGTGCTGACTGCCATTGGCGATTGCCAAATAAACGGATCACCGATGTAATATATGGATCTTAATTAAAAATTTAATACGAAAGAGAAAACAATAAACTTGCGGAAAAGATGATATACCGCAAACAAAAGGGGCAAAAGTTTTTGTATACCATATCCGGATTTCGACAATTAATGTCTCTTCAGTGATGTTAGGAATCGAAACGGTATTTGGAAAGCCATACAATTTACCTCAATTTAGGATAGTTTTGAGGAGTCAAAATAGGATGAACGGATCATATAAACCCGAAGGTAAATATAATACAAGCCCAAACGAAAAAATATAAACAGTCTAAATTGAAAACAACCTTCAAACCTATGATTGCGTTGGATAAAAATCGCATTTTTTATACATGTGCATGCACAACAAATGTCTTGTTAGAGGGGTCTAAATGCAGCACAAACAACATTTTCCAAAAGACCAAAAAAGTGAAAAAGTATATTTTAACAAAACGCATTTGACTAACAGGTCGAACAACACATGTTCTTAAACCCTGCTGACTGCCATTGGCGATTGCCAAATAAACGGATCACCGATGTAATATATGGATCACAATTAAAAATTTAATACTAAACAGAAAACAATAAACTTGCGGAAAAGATGATATACCGCAAACAAAAGGTGCAAAGGTTTTTGTACACCATATCCGGATTTCGACAATTAATGTCTCTTCAGTGATGTTAGGAATCGAAACGGTATTTGGAAAGCCATACAATTTACCTCAATTTAGGATAGACTCTTGAATTTTGAGGAGTCAAAATAGGATGAACGGATCATATAAACCCGAAGGTAAATATAATACAAGCCCAAACGAAAAAATATAAACAAGTCTAAATTGAAAACAACCTTCAAACCTATGATTGCGTTGGATAAAAATCGCATTTTTTATACGTGTGCATGCAAAACAAATTTCTTGTTAGAGGGGTCTAAATACAGCACAAACAACATTTTTCAAAAGACCAAAAAAGTGAAAAAGTATATATTAACAAAACGCATTTGACTAACAGGTCGAACAACAAATGTTCTTAAACCGTGCTGACTGCCATTGGCGATTGCCAAATAAAAGGATCACCGATGTAATATATGGATCTTAATTAAAAATTTAATACTAAACAGAAAACAATAAACTTGCGGAAAAGATGATATACCGCAAACAAAAGGTGCAAAGGTTTTTGTACACCATATCCGGATTTCGACAATTAATGTCTCTTCAGTGATGTTAGGAATCGAAACGGTATTTGGAAAGCCATACAATTTACCTCATTTTAGGATAGACTCTTGAATTTTGAGGAGTCAAAATAGGATGAACGGATCATATAAACCCGAAGGTAAACATATAATACAAGCCCAAACGAAAAAATATAAACAAGTCTAAATTGAAAACAACGTTCAAACCTATGATTGCGTTGGATAAAAATCGCATTTTTTATACGTGTGCATGCAAAACAAATTTCTTGTTAGAGGGGTCTAAATACAGCACAAACAACATTTTCCAAAAGACCAAAAAACTGAAAAAGTATATTTTAACAAAACGCATTTGACTAACATATGAATTATCTATCGTAGAGGAGATCCTTTACGATAGATAATTCAGCAGATCTGTAATATTCCGACTTCATGCCTTATATATCATGTACTGTGTTACGACGTTAGATAAAAACTGACGAGGAAAGGTAATACCCGGCCACCGAAAGCTTGATTTTTGTCGAGTCTAGGTGGTCGAGTGGTCTAGCGCGCCGGACATAGTGCAAGGCGATTTGGTGCCACGATATCTCAGTAGCATGAGTTCGAATCCCGGCCAGGTAAGAACAAAAATTTGCTTCCGCTGTTATTTAGACGAATTATATATACAGAATGTGTTTTCAGCCTTGTATCACCATCACTGGTGATCCGATGTACTGTAAGGATGATTCGAATGTGCAATTGTGCAATTATATGTAGTTTTGATATTTTATTTCCAAAAGTTTCGAATAATTTTTTTGTTTCAAAATATTGAAAGGAAAGGGAACATTTCAAAAATCATTATCTAAAAAACCAAAAGAGCAAAAAAAAAAAAAAAAAAAAATACATGAAAGATAAAAAGTACCTGTCTGTTCCTTTATGATAGACATTATTGTTATTTAATAGGTATTTCACTGCATCAACATATCCCTCACATGCCGCTAAATGCAATGCGCTTCTTTTGTCGCAATCTGTATCATTCATATTAATGTAGTTCTGGTATTTTATTCTGCATACAGACAAAAAGATAAAAGACATAATAATTGCGTTCCTAAAACTTCTCTACATTCAATGTTATTTGATTTTAAACACATCTTATTCATTAATATATGAAAAGGATGAGCCACGCACAACCTATACAATCTCTCTATATATTACACGTACAAGGTATAAATCAAATATCAACAACTATATCAAAAATAATATAATGTAGTGGAAAATGCATTCAATTATGAGCACATACGAGCAAATATATCCTTGATATTCGCGGTGTTAATAAAAAGATATATATTATATTTAAGCATGTAGGCAATTAAACATCATTTCTCTTATGGTGGTGGCTTGTTATCTATTTCTTGCATGAAGAGATATATCTCGTATCACACTGTACGGAGTGCGATACGAAAAAGTAATACGAGAATCTGCGTTGATTTGATTGGCTTAACCGGCGTCGTTAGACGATATTACAACATTTTCATTTGCTATTCGTTAGGTCTTCAAAGGTTAAGACGATGTCTTTTTCTTCCATGGCAACGAACATATGTGGATTCTTCAATAATATACAAAATACTCACACTTTTTACCTGAAAATATTTTTTTTGTCAACTTTTTATACATTCTGAAGCGTACAAAAAGTTTAAATTGTCAGATGTATAAGTTTGACATGAGAACAGGACATATGACGTCATACTGGTATGTGCAAAAGACTAGATCAATACCTTAAGACATGTAAATATCCTTTATACGTTTATATATACAAGGTTTAGAAGAGACACTTAATTTTCATGTACTTAGTGGAATAAATGGAATTAATGAAAAAAGGAGAGAAACGAAAATATAGATGAAACAAAATATTAAGAAAAATTTCAAACACAACGGGGAGTGTCTCTGATATGTTTCTGAACAGATTAAAAATAGCAATATTCATATCATACGAAAATAATCTGTTTCCAAAAAGTAATAAGTCAATTTTTCTGTCAACATTATCAACAATTGAGTGAATGGAATCAAGTAAGGTCTGTATCATTGTACTTAGGGAAAATGAAAAAGAAATGCTGGTTATCCTCAACAGGGTGATTACAGATTGCACAAAAAGAGTTCTCTTATAAGAACTGATTAAACAAATGAGATTTTAGATTTCTAGCATTATTTATGAGTTGACAATGAGTAATATCATGTTCCCTTATTCCATAATGGAAAGGTTTAAATATTTCATCAGTCCTATAAAACTTTCCAGTCTACCTCTAAATATACAGAAACTTGGGGACTTCTGTATACTTAGAGGGAGACTAATAGTGGAAGGAATGAAACTATTAAAGTAAGAGCCAGTTCTAGAAAGTGGGGGCGTAAAGTACTATTTTCATTTCTCAGAGTATAAGGGGTTGGCCTGGGAAAATATGGCTCGACTAACTCATATAATTATGCAGGTGTCATCCTATTTAATATTTTATAAAACAGTATAACCTTATGTTTATTTCGTCTATCCTCCAGAGTTTCTAATTCTTATTCAATATAAAGTTTTTGGCATGAGGAATTACGCCGTAGACCAGCAATAATACTACCAGCTTCTATTTGAATATTTTCAAGATTCAATGTTATAAGGTACGATCACACATCACCAAAGTTTAGAAATAGAAGTACAATAGAAATACTAGCATTTCAATCATTATGGTCACATATAGGGTGGTTTTAAAAGAACTTTGTGAATCTTTTAACAGTTTCATGCTGTCAAAAACATATGTTTGCACGTTTCATATTGAAGGCATTTTCAAATCATTTAGCATACTGATATGCGTTTACAAGAAAACTGCATCCGTAATAAGATATTCCGAGGCCTTTGCAACTTTGTTTTGATTTGCAAATGTAACATGATATGTAATATATTAATGGATATTCTACTGAAAATATTATTGCACTTTACACACTCCAACAAGGTGTACATTCTATGCATGAAAACCCCTATTACATATTAAAAGCACTCCTCTTAAATGTTATTTTTACCGAAGAGTGTTGTGTTTATGAAAACACTACTTCATTCTGTCAGTGTTACGATGTAAAGACAAAAACAAGATATCCGAATTCATGATCATGATGATGTTAACTGAGTAATTGTTTTATTGTTTTTCATGTCATAAACCATGCTCCATGCATTTATAGTAACATTTTTAAATGGACAGTGATTAATAACGTTTTACATCTAGATTGCAGGGTACTATTCAATCTTATAATTGAATCGTTCTAATACAGATCTAGTGGATATCCTATTCATTTGTGTTACCTTAAATAACGAAATTGCATTAGTCATCAGATGTAGAAATCGTAATAATTTAAATGAATCAATATTTTTAACACACTTACCTTCTTAACATTTTAATATCGCCTTTCGAAGCTGCTAAGAGTAATTTATAAATCTGTAACTCGTAATATTCATCATAAACACGTGGATACTGTAATATATATTTGCAGTAAATAAAGTAAAGTCAGGTATCAATATAACTTATTCAGGGAAATCATTCCAAAGATTTTATACAACTCTTTAATTGAGGGAAAATACAAAAGAGGGGCGAAAGATACCAGAAGGAAATTCAAACTCATAAATCGAAAATCAACTGACAACGCCATGGCTAAAATAGAAAAAGACAAACAGACAAACAATAGTACACAAAACACAACATAGAAAAAAAAACTAAGCAACACGAACCCCACCAAAAACTGGGGGTGATATCAGGTGCTCTGGAAGGGTAAGCAGATCCTGCTCCACATGTGGCCCCCGTAGTGTTGCTCATGTTAATACAAACCCGGTAATAAGTCTAATTCGGTAGGTTACAACATAAGGAACATATCCGCTATCATATGTGAAACGGACATTCCATAACGGTCAACCAACTCGTGATGGCGTCCGTAAAATATACAAAGGGATGATTGCAACTTCACCATTTGGAACTCTTGGTTTAATAGCTTCCTTGTGAGCAGCAACCTTCTATCAAGGAAATCATGATAGGAAATACAAGCCCGGATATATCGTATCAATTTGGAGATATATACTCCGTATGCAGGCGCTGCTGGAATGTTGCTACAAGGCATCATAAAAAAAGTGAAAACCATTTGATCAACTTTTGCCCTTAAGCAACCTACGGACAACCTAACTGTACGTAAACCATTATGTACTAAAGCACTCTGCAATGGTCAAAGGTGTTTTTGTCATTAAATTCGTGCCTCAGAGCACTAATTTCATGTCTTTGATAATACATCATAACATGACAGATAAGTCTACATTGAAAGGCTTACCCAAATATATCGCCAAATTCTTTATTTAAATGGAGATACGCAGTTTGAACTTTTCTAATTTCCCAAGACTCCCTCATAAAATAAACATTGAACGTAAAATGCGTTTATAGTTAATAATCGATGATGAAAAAATGAGATAAAGCGTTGAAATATGTGACAGAGATATTCAGTTTCGGTCAAATTAATCATGAATCGTCTTTAACCCTTCGAAGAGAGTAATAATAATTAAATTGCCATCACATTTTATGTAGTGTCTTGAATAAACCGGCTTTGGCAAATCGTACCCCCAGGCTATAGGTATATGTTATTGAAAGTTACTAAACATACCTTAACTAATTGATGCGTGAAAGCACAATACACCACAAAAACAGTACCTACAACACATAATTTTTGATTAGTTCATTTTATCATTTAGATTGATCTAGATATCAGGTACGAAGTAAACATGCGCTTTATCGTACAATTCGATATAAAAATACAGGCAATACAATGAATGTTTATTTCATGTAAACACAAAATGGTTTAAATCTCCATGATAGACAAAAAAATCATAACAACGTATTAACGTTGAAACGTGTTTTTATTTTGAGTTTTTGGTTGCTTAAGAAGCTTTATGGATTTTTTTTTATGTGTACTGTATCTAACGAAAACTATACTTATTCTCTTAACCTAGACTTTTTATGCATAACTACTCAGAAAGTTTCTTGAAAGTTGTGAAAATAGAATACGAATATATGCAACTTACCCAAAATTATACAAACCCCTAACAAGGTAGCTCCTATTGCTACAATTTTCAGACAATGTTTCACAAATATAAGGACTAAAACTGCAAAACGAAACAATATAATGCATGTTTAAATTTACATTTTCTTACGTAATATTATCGATGTTTCATTTCTAATTTTTTGTAAATTTTGTCAAGTCATGTTAAATTGCAATACCAATACATGACACATTACATTACACACAGATGACCTCAGTTGTTTTAAGCACACTTTTAGAATACACTTTATCCTTAAGTTGTAATGTTTTTAGAACAAAATCAACCAATAACGTTGTTTTGCCTTCTGATTTTTATGATTTGATACCTAATTTTCTATTGTATATATTAAAGTCATTGCTATAGCAGAATAATATGTGGTGAGCATGGGAAACAATATTAAAAGTTCAAAACTTTCATTACAAAAAACACACTAATTGACTTTTTTAATTTTGAAAATAGCTCCTTGGTATATATGTCTAACACTTTAAAAAATGTCCATCGCCTCAAATGTGTCCAACTCGCTAACCGTACTCATATGACGTCATTGAAATGCAAAACATGTATAACTGCCCAATGGCGCAAACACGTGTCCTTTTTAAGAACACACGATCGTGTTCATTTTGAAAAAAAAAAACAACCATAAAACGTGTCCAATCCCCCAAGCGTGTCTATATGGAGCCTTTTTGATGCCCAAACGTGTCAACCAATATTTAATCACGTATGGTGCTTGAAAACAAATCTAATCGATATTATAACAGAAACCTTCCTTTTGTTTTATTGTTATTAAAATAGAAAAATAGCTTTACAAAAGTCCAGATTTTTATGGTCTGAAGGAACATATTAATTTTGATTTCTGTTTTAAACATAAATTTGGTTATTGACCTTTCATTAAACTATACCTTCATCCATTGTCCTACACCAAGGGTGACTAAAAAATCGTAATACGGGGTCCGTAGGTGGAATGTTGAAAGGCAAAATTTTAGTCCATATCCAATATGTCTTTTTTTCCAGTGGCAATTAAAAGGCTTTTATAATATAAACTACATATTTGTTGTTCATAACATGCAAGAAATATTTGCAACTGATCGTTAAACAACCAACAATCAATGTATTGTCCTAAAAATCCATAAAAATAATCAAACAACAATCAGTTAATTCGTTATTTTCTGTTTGCTGATTATTACCTCTTGAAAAATTAATTGAACGTAAGGTGACAGTTAAACAAATTATGCATATTTATAATGACTTAAAATCACGTTATCTTGGAAGTTACGCATATACAATATTTGAAACGTATTTGAACGTTACCTTTTATAGTAATAAAAGTTTTTTTTAACAATTATAAACTATAAGACTGGTATCAGGGATGCTAATGATACATTCAAAGTTATTCCTCTTGATAAGGTTTCTTTAGTGATGTTTGGACACAAAATATTCAAATATAAAAACTGAATACCAGTATACAGACTGAGAAGATCTAATGAAAAATCAGTACTGTTATAATGAAATGAAAATACTTCTTCAGGAAGCCGACCATGCAATATCTTCAATCATCCTTAAAATAGTTAAGCATCAACGAAGTATATTAGTACAACATAATTCACTAGTACACTATGATTTTAACTGTGCAAAGCTAATCAATTACAGTGTTTATTTTCGCCATATATATTGATAAAATATTTGCCACTTGACGTTTACCAATCAACAGTCAAGAGTTAGTTTACGGTAAAAGTTAAATTTGCAACCATGCACTAAGGAAATTTGAGCGCTTAAAGATTTGAAAAGTTTCGGCTTTTAAAAGTGGACAAATTTTTGCAAATTACAATTGTCGGACACGTTTGGGAGGGACGTGAAATTGGACGCATTCGGCAATATGGAATTTTAAGGAAACGTTTTGGCGAAATAGACACGTATGGTTGAATCAGACACGTTTATAGGATGGACACGTGTGACATAATATATATTATAGTTGTGTTTATTGTGATGTAAATTTCATTTCTATGCATTACTGAAGAATAACTTTATGTACATGTATAAACAAAATATATATATACTCGTGTCCTTTCATTTTGATAGATGCACTATCAAAGTTACGTTTGAAATTTGCAGTTCATTTTTTGTTTTTCTAATATGATGTGTACAAATGTAAATCATCTTCTATTTTTAAGGTACACATGTTCTTTTTCTTAATTCCCCGTCTTCGTGTTTGTCGTTTTGATTATTTGTTTGATTTTAATCAGAAATTGTAAGTAGCTGGAACGCATGGTGTTTTTTTTTTCTTTACTTCCATCATAATCAATGATAATACTAAGCCAACACGATTGACAGCTGTTACATTGTGGTATTAGAAATTTCTTTGACAAACTCACCAAAACTAGTTAAAAGCACAGCAAAAAGTAACAGTACCGGTATCAGGGTATAACTATAAGGTTCCCAAACTTTACCCCGAATTATGATAACTGGAATAAATAAATATTAGTCAAAACAAACGAGAATATTTTTGCACTTTGTTTTGATATTATGACTCTATAGTGCGTAAATAGAAAAAAACCCATAGATATTAAAACGTACATTAGACGTAACTACATTATTATATTATAGAAATAAATATCTAAATATATAAGAGCGTTGGACAATTCGTTGGGATTGAAAGGAATAGAATGATGTGTTTAACATTTACTGTTTAATATCTTTTTTAGCGTGCCTCGTTATTTTATACATCCGGTTATTGTTTTACCTATTACATGTATTATGTCTGTTTGTTTTGCTAACATATTGTAGTCAACGTAATGGAATTCTATGCGACTGGGGTTTAGTTGGCTGTAGGACCGTGTTTAATGCACTGGTGGTCATGTTCTACATAAGGAAATGTCTGTACCAAGTCAGGAATATGACAATTGTTTTCCTTTCGATTAATTCGTTTGAGCTTTAGATTTTGCCATTTGATATGGGACTTTTAATATTGAGTTTTCCTTGGAGTGCCCTATTTTTGTTATTTTACTTTTTAGTTCTATTTGACATAATATACGTAAGAATTATAATATTTATGCTTTATGTTATACGTTTGAATCTGTAATGTTTACGTTATATTTCGAGTAAGGTTAATCTTACCTAAAAGCAACAGCGGGCAAATAACAAAGCCTATCGCCACGACTGTATTTACATAAGATGTCTTGTAGCTCTTGTGAATGGTTTTACCTAAAACAGAAAAAAATATCTAGACAAAACAGGAAAATATTGTATCTAAACCAGAAATAAATCAATACTATCTATTTTCTCAGTATGCAATTTTGGAGATTGCACACGCTTATGTATGTTGGGTGGTAACGACGATATTCGATATAATACAATGAATTTAAGTATTATCTTATTTTTCTGGTCAATAGAAACCCGACATCACGGCTTTGAATTATAAACTATCAAATGAGATACATATAAAAAGAAATTTTTCTAATTTCAGGGAAAAACAAAAAACGTTAAAAAAAGTTTTAATGTACAAGGAATTTATAATTATACCACATGGAGATGATCTGGACGAAGGTTTAATTTTTAATTTTTCTCTTTTTTTCAAGTATTTCAGGTTTTCATTTGGCTCACTAGACTCGCGATTGAATCTGCTGAAGTAACAATCCAATCAAAAGATAAAGAAGGCAAATTTAAATGCAGAGTAAAAACTCATCGAAGTAAGAATATCAAGTTATGAATGCATCCCCTGTAATGCGAATCAGCACTCAGGCAAAATGTCATACCGAAAAACCTTACTTTTAACTTTTTTTGTATTAACAATGTTTTAATTAACAGCGAGGTACCGAATATTGGTCTGGTACTATCTTTCGTTTTAACCATTGGTACATAATGTCCATCATATGGAGAATCGACCAAGCGGTAACAAACATAACACACAATGACTAAAAGAGGGACATAGGCAAAGAAAATGTCGATTCCAAAAAATACTTTGCAGAATAAAAAGAGTAATAAAAAGCATCACACCAAAAAGTGGAAAAAATCCCCGTGTCCGTAAAAATAAATTTCATACGTCGGAAGCATATGTACTTTAAAAACAGTTGTGGTCCATACGTTTGATGTGTTTTGTCATTTGATTTTGCCATGTGATTAGGGACTTTCCGATTGAATTTTACTTTTTATTAGATATAAGAAAATGTGGGGTGAGTGCCAAAGAAACAACTCTCCATCCAAGTCACAATTTATAAAAGTAAACCATTATAGGCAGACGGGGTCATCGGTCACATTTTTAAATTAGATACCCTAAGGATGATTGTTAGTTTGGTTAAATGTGTCTCAGTAGTTTCAGAGAAGAAGATTTTTGTAAAAGATTACAAAAATTTACGAAAAATTGTGAAAAATTTACTTTAAAGGGCAATAACTCCTTATGGGATCAATTGAAAATTTTGGTCATGTTGGCTTATTTGTAGATCTTACTTTGCTGAACAATTTTGCTAATTACAGTTTAACTCTGTCTATTAGAATATTCAAGATAATAACCAAAAACTGAAAAATTTCCTTAAAATTACTAATTCAGGGGCAGCAACCCAACAACGGGTTGTCTGATGCGTCTGAAAATTTCAGGGCAGATAGATCTTTTTTACCCCATGTCAGATTTGCTCTAAATGCTTTAGTTTCAGAGATATAAGCCAAACTGCATTCTACTCCCCATGTTCTATTTTTAGCCATGGCAGCCATCTTGTTTGATGGGCGGGGTCGTCGGATACATTTTTTAAAGTTATTACCCTAAGGATGATTTTGGCCAAGTTTGGTTTTATTTGGCTATGCAGTTTCAGAGGAGAAGATTTTTGTAAAATTTAACGGACGACCACGGACGACGGACGCCAAGTCATGAGAAAAGCTCACTTGGTCCTTTTGGGCAATTTGTCGGCGACTTTGATATTTTATAATATAGTATGGATCTTACTGATTTGTGAATGCCGTACGGTGATATGTAGCCAATACATCACCGCCGTTTGTTCTCTTGTGGATATTACTCCTATTTGCTATCTAGCCATTTTTTAAAAAAAAATTATCAAACAGTTCTACCATAGAAAGAGAAAAGATCAAATTTTCAATGTATGTCTTTACACAGTTGATGGAGGGTAAATTAATGTCCAATTTCGACTAATAGATTAACATGTTCTAAAATGACTAAGTATTTAAAGGACTTACATGTGTAATCAGTCTTTGTAAAGCATGACTATATGCAATGTCGAAACATAAATATCAAAAAGTAAAATCACAAAGATACTGAACTCCGAGGAAAATTCAAAACGGAAAGTCCTTCATCAAATGGAAAAATCAAAAGCTCAAACACATCAAACGTATGGATAACAACTGTCATATTCCTGACTTGGTACAGGCATTTTCTTATGTAGAAAATGGTGGATTGAACCTGGTTTTATAGCTAGCTTAACCTCTCATTTGTATAACAATCGCATCAAATTCTATTATATTGACAACGATGCGTGAACAAAACAAACAGACATAATAGGTACAAATGTCAAAAATAGGGGTACATTGTACTAATAGTATTGATACTTAGACAACAATTTACCTTTACACCTGTAAGCATCGAAATAATTTTTTCAAATATTTTGCTATAATCTTAAATTGATAATCTTTAGATTGTGTTTATATACACTCATATACACATATCAAACACACCCCACTATACAATAGGTGAATAAATAATTACCGTTATTTCTTGTATTGATTTGCTGCCAACTTCCGCTACAATAATAAACATAATTAAATATTAAGTATTTGTGCTTAACAGCAGTCATGTATCATAGTGAAAATAACACGTGCAAAACACGTTTACGAAAATGCATCCCATTGATTTGTGGTCTAACAAGTCTAAATACAGCACAAACAACATTTTCCAAAAGACCAAAAAAGTGAAAAAGTATATTTTAACAAAACGCATTTGACTAGCAAGTCGGACAACGGATGTTATTAAACCCTGCTGACTGCCATGACGATTGCCAAATAAACGGATCACAGATGTAACAAAATGGATCTTAATTATTAGTTTAATACAATGTACCTAACAGAAAATAAAAAACTTGCGGAAAAGATGATATACCGCAAACATGAGGTGCAAAAATTTGTACACCATATCCGGATTTCAACAATTAATGTCTCTTCAGTGATGTTAGGAATCGAAACGGTATTTGGAAGGCCATATAATTTACCTCAATTTGGAATTGACTCTTGAATTTTGAAGAGTCGAAATAGGATGAACGGATCATATAAACCCGAAGGCAAATATAATACAATCTCAAACGAAAATATATAAACAAGTCTAAATTGAAAACAAAGTTCAAACCTATGAATGCGTTGGATAAAAACCGCAATTTTTATACGTGTGCATGCAAAACAAATTTCTTGGTAGAGGGGTCTAAAAAAAAGTGAAAAAGTATATTTTAACAAAACGCATTTGACCAGATAGATTAATCTCTATATAGAAAATGATGTGTATTTATACATCCCAAAATAAGAATGTGTCCATAGTAAACAGATGCCCCACTCGCACTATCATTTTCAATGTTCATTGGACCGTGAAATAAGGGTAAAAACTCTAATTTGGCAATAAATTTAGAAAGATCATATCATAGGAAACATGTGTACTAAGTTTTATGTTGATTGGACTTTATCAAAAACTACCTTGACCAAAAACTTTAACCTGAAGCGGGCCAGACGGACGAACGAACAAACGAACGGACGAACGGACGAACGTACGAACGAACGGAAGCACAGACGAACAAACGAACGGACCACAGATCGAAAAACATAATGCCCATAAGGCGGTTACAAAAATATCTGAAAAGAATACAAATTTAGTTATTTTTTATTTTGCTCATGACAAAATCGATATTTGTGCCAATGTAAACTATATTCAAAATCTAATTACAACATTGGTAAGATATTCTTTACTAATACGCTTGTTTAAAGGTTCGATGAGTTTACACGGATCTCATAGTGATTTCTGCGCTTTTAGTACAATTATACCGTAAATATAGGATGTGAAGGACCGTTTTAATAAGTTTTGGTACATCCAAATTTACTGATCAAATATTTGTATCTTTAAAAGAATTTAGTAAAAGTTTTAAGTAATTTATGGTAACTAAATCCCTGACTTAATCATTTACCAGTGGTGAATTGATCTATGACATCACTACACACACAGGCATAACGAACGAGTTGGGATATATAAACACCGTATGATGGAGCCAAAGGAACATCGCCGTCTAAAAAAAGGAAAATTAACAATAGGCAATGAAAAATCGTCTCTTTTGTCGTAAATTTTAGTATGGAGTTTCCCTTTAGAAATTGAAATGTCTAAATGTAGAAAAGGACAACTACTGCTGTTTATGTTAGATTTATTTAAAGCAAGTTACTTTGGGTAAATTTCGGTAGTATATTTAGAGAACTCTGGATTATTTAACGATAAAAAGTATCATCAAGACAACGGCAGGTATTGCTGAATGTATCAACCAAATGTAATAATGACGTGTCATTACTGAGTTTGGTCATAAACTGAGATTCATAGCAATACTTGAATAAATCTGCTATTAAAAGGGCGCAGTTAGTTCCCAAAGGAATACCTGCTACCTGTTGATACACTTTATTGCCGAAACGTCCATATATGTTGTCCAGGAAAACATTTAAAGCTTCAATCATATCTTAACATTTTCAGTAAGTGTATCTAGCATACCTTCCTTCTTGTTACAGAAAAAGGCTTTAAACGAGTTACAGCAAAAAAATTTGTAATGAGATTTTTCAAAAGACCATTTAATTAAATATAAAAACTTTTTTCTTGATAAGATTGTGAGGAGTGTAGTGTAGAGAGTAGAAAAATCATAACTGTCAACAGAATTAAAAGGACCATCAAAAGCACGTATTTAATCTAAAACCTTTAAATAATTTTTAACACTCCAAAAATAATTAATACCATTATTTTCATAAGCTTCATAGTAGTAAAAGTAGTAAGGGAGGTAGTTATAGTAGTAGAACACTTACTAGATGCGGAAATGAAACGGAATTTAAATGGTTGTTTGTGTAATTTGGGTAACCAGTACATAGTCGGGACTTTCAAATGTTAGGAAGAGGCTTTAAGCTTGGTAGTGGCAGTGATATGCTTGTTTACAATTTGACTCTCTTTGGAGCGTACTGACCTGAATGTAGACGAATTGATAATTTCGTTTTGGAGAAATTCCGTGTAGTATATGCCTCACACCACCACTACATAATTGGCTGCTTAGTCTGTCCGTACGAACACAAACCGGTTTGCGAGTACTTGGAGTTTATTTGTTATTCAAAAAATGGTATATCATGGACCCTATTATTAATTTCAGAATTGTTTTCAAAGTGACATATACGAATATCAACAGTATTTATAATTTTATTCAAATAACTGTCTAGAGATTTTTTTCAGATTTTTCACGTTTACACCAATTTTTACAGTAGGCAGACAGAGCGTCTTTAATACCCTAACGACACTGTTTCCAATCTATTATAGATGGAGGATGATACTTAGGTCCTTTGTTAAGAAAAGCTTTGACCTCACGGTCTTCGACGATGTTGAGGTCACATGTAATGACATGACCATAGGGAACATATCTAACACTAGATATTTCAGTCTCAAGTGGAAGGAGTATTATTTTCTATATTGACGTCTGATGTAACTGTCGTATAATTAAAAATCAAACTTCTGTGTTTTTTTTTTATAATAATACGAAATAATAGGTGGTTCTGTATTATCAAAATATGGAGGTATTTGGCCATGGATAGTAGAGTCATTGAATATACTAGATAAGTTAATAAAATCAATACCTCTATTTATATATTTCAATTTAAGAAAATGCCGTTTATGATTTTCAGGTTTATCGATACTAGAAAACAGCCTGTGATGACAAAAGGCTGTAATAATACGGGTGTATTCATACAACGGGCTAAAAAATGAAATTTTATCACACTCCTGAAAAATAGCATATAAGTTACTTATTGGTATATGACCCAGTTTGCGTAATATTTGATGTCTACCATTATTTTATTATAGATAACAGATCAGCAAGTGTTTAATTTATACGAGGTTTAATACGTTGATTACGTTTTTGTTTTGCGTTTTCAATGAGACCTATTATTTCTTAGTCGTTTATCGACAATATTAATGACATCGATAAAAGTTTTAGATATGTTCCCCTGTCCCAATATTTTGTCATTGAGACCGAGAGGATAAGCTGTTTAAAGTCTGTTTATCCAAAATAGTTCGCGATCTTCACGGGATTTGTCAAGTTGCTTGTTTGATTGTCCGTGGTGTTTCTGGACGGTTTCATGTGGTTGGAATTTTATAATTTTAGATTGTGATTTAGGTAATCTAAATGTTGGTCTATCAAACTTTTGAATTTTGTAGGTCTTCGAAAGCGGTAAAGGTGTTCTTGATTTTTTCTGTAATATTCTCGTCCCGTGTGTTCCATACTGTGGATTCATTATTATTCGTGGGATACCAATTTTTGTGGATTTCGTGGGTAAAGGTGAACCACGAATTTAAATGTTCAACGAATTACAAATTTTCTATAGCCCTGTATGCAGAATGTGTCAAACCCACGAAATCAAATATCCACGAAAACGTAAGTTTTACTCAATCCACGAAAATTGGTACCCACGAATATAAATGAATCCACAATAAATTGTAGACAACACTTAGGCTGGAATCAAGTTACCACATATATATGGTTTTGAGTTTTTCAGGTAATGTCACAGGAAAAGGAGAGTGAAAAAGCTTTCCCGTTCACTGTTGACTTAACAGTATTATGTGAAAAAAAAGTAAAATCACAAAAATACTGAACTCCGAGGAAAATTCAAAAAGGAAAGTCCCTATTCAAATGGCAAAAGCAAGAGCCCAAACACATCTAACGAATGGATAACAACTGTCACATTGTGAAGTTAATCTAAACAGGTAAGACTGTTTAATAATTGTTATTTTTCTGGAAAAGTTGGAATTCGGAGGCTTCCTTCAAAACTTTGAAATTAAAAGAGAGGCAACAGTTGCCCAAGAGTTATTCAAACTTCGACCACGTGGCACCGTTCGTGCTGCTCATGTTAGTTCAATCCCAGTGATAAGTGTAATAAACAACTATAAGTTGCACTTTGTAAATACAACTGTTTCTCAAACTTCACCTCTTTTGCGGAGATATATAATATTCATAGATAATTAATTTTGTTTACGTACTTGTTCCCGGATATGATCTCTATGTTTCATCTCGTAGAGACATAACTTGGGAATGTTACCAGTAAATATACATATTCATACCCATAAAATTTAAATCTGTGGAAATCCTTAAGTCAAGGTAGGGGTAGTGTAGAATTTTAATGTAAGTTTAAACTCATAGAAGTTCGGGGCATATAAACGTTGAAAATATGCCGCACAGCCCTATATTTTGACCTTTGAAAAAAATAGTAGTGCATATGAACTTTCCATTCTAGGATATATATTTTTTTTTCAAAACTTCATAGTAAAAGTGGTACAGTTTTAGCCATGGAAGGAGTTCCTATGGGAAATTGCCTTGTTGATATTTACAGAAATGCAACCTATATTGGGTGAAAAAAGAGAACATACAGAATTTAACCAAATCTGGTTTATCTCAGGGATTTTAATGAAATTAACTCAAATATAAAGTTTCATTAATAGTTCATAAAGATTGAGAAAATCCTTGGCCTGAACTATGATGAGGCAGCATAAATTCACAGTTTACAGTAAGCATAGTTTACTTAAAGCCCTGAATGCAAAATAAATTCATAATATATGCATATTAGTAATTCAAATTGTTTAGAAGTGCTTATATTTACTCTTCGCAGTCATTGAAACTCAAAGATCCTTCCTGAATATTATTGGTGGGATGTATTTTTTCGGTCCATAACTAACAAGCAAGCCGTAACACCTAAATGTGCTTTGTTGTGACCGCGGCATAAAAAAATACAAGCTAGAAATACAAAAATACCTCAATAAAACTTACAATAGTGTGTTTTATCCTTAATATGCACTAAATATTCCATATTATAAAAAACAGCAGAATAATCTAGGAAATTTGAGGCCCCAGAGACAAAAAACAGAGAAAAATGCCTACCACTTTGGTTAAAACATATAATTTAATTTGTAAATGCTATGACTTTATTATTTTAAGGGTCTTTTGTATAGAAACCAATAACTGTGCTTGGAAGTTATGCAAAAATCAGATGTTAGCAGTCATTTTTATAAAGCTTTTAATGAATTCATACATCAGACTGGTAACTTCATAAATACAACTTTTGCAAATATGGCTTTGTTTAAACATTTCTAGTTCATATATTAGCTAAATAATGTTGAATATATGGTAAGAGATGATACTGTTGTGACAAGATTTTTAAACTAACCATTTGAGGCAGCAATTGTGAACTTTCATTGACAAATAGACATACAGTAAGATGTGAACTGGAGACAGAGGCAGGATTGGATAATTTATATAATCTTGAATGTTGGAATGATTAGCTGCTAAACATTACATTTATAGTGTTCTAAAATGCTTTCAATTTGTTATCAAAATAGTTTCAAACAGGTTCTAGACATTTCATGTTAGAAAACATGAACATAGGGTAAGCTGGCAAAAATTAAAGTCTTTTTTTCAAGTTCTTTAAAAAATTGATACGGGGGGGGGGGGGGGGGGTATAAAATGTACTGTATATGCAATGATTTCCTTAAGGCTATAATTCTGATAAATAAGTATTGTTGTGAGAAAAAGTGTTTTTAGAGAGTTTTCTAATGGAATAAATGTTAGTATAGGTTGCACTTTGTAAATACAGCTGTTTCGCAAACTACGCCTTTTTTGGGGGGAAATATAATATTCATAGATAATTAATTTTGTTTACGTACTGGTGTCCGGATATGATCTCTATGTTTCATCTCGTAGAGACATAACTTGGGAATGTTACCAGTAAATATACATATTCATAGCCATAAAATTGAAATCTGTGGAAATCCTTAAGTCAAGGTAGGGGAAGTATAGAATTTTAATGTAAGTTTAAACTCTTAGAAGTTCGGGGCATATAAACGTTGAAAATATGCCGCACAACCCTATAGTTTGACCTTTGAAAAAAAAATTAGTGCATATGAACTTTCCATTCTAGGATATAATTTTTTTCAAAACTTCATAGTAAAAGTGGTACAGTTTTAGCCATGAAAGGAGTTCCTATGGGAAATTGCATTGTTGATATTTACAGAAATGCAACCTATACCTTGAACCAAAATAATGAATGTGTTTTTTCCTTTTGATATTTCGGGAGCAAATATCAACATTCTTTTTTTTGTCAACATTTAAAGGATAAATCAGTATAGAATAGCTTGTTTACATATATCCTTGACAGTTTTCGTTATAATGAATTGATATGGACACAAACAAGATCAGATATCTAATCGACGCAGTGAAGACATCTTGTAACGTCTATCGGATTTTGGTTCAGTTGACTACTTAAAGAATGTTAAAACTGTAGTAAAACACCGTTTTTAAATGTGTTAGTGGTCATATATAACGCCTCATGTCGAAGTTTATGACATCATATAGTGTTGCGTATAACATTTTAACTTGTCAGAGGTAACAAGCCGTATGCTATCAAATGAGCACCACCTATTAAATTTCTCCAAACACCTACTTTGATTATTCTATTCATTTGATAACAAGTTCCATAGTCGTTAGCTTGTCGTATGTAGTGCTGATGTTAAATATTCGATTTTTCGTATTTCAGGGTTTTGTTTTGCTCAATGTTGTTGCTATCTTTTAACCATGAGTTATAATTCAAATGACCAAAATAAAGCAGAAAACATTATAACAATGTGGAAAGATATAAATAGATGATCATCAAAGTAAATGGATTTACCGTTTATTCTGTGATGCAGGTAATGCAGGACATTTTGAATCATTATCGTGTTCTTCATAGACACATTCATAATCTAAAACATCGATGAAACATATTTAAAAGAAGATAGTTTTTTTCCCCGGAAACTTTTAAGTTGTTTTAAGGAAATGTGCGTTACGTATGTATATTTAGGAGATACCTAAACGGTGGACAGAACTCATATGTAGATTGATAGATGATGCAATATCATTTCAAATAGAATTGAAAGAAAAATAGCAACCTTTCCGATTTTGAAGATTACACTTGTACGTTAACTTTACAGTTATATTTATGAATAAATAATTGCAACGTGGCTGAGAGAAAAGGAGATGAGTAAAAAAAAACTCTATATAAAGGAAAGTAAAATATATTGGGTTCCAAATGCAAATGATCATTTCGAACACTAAAATCATTAAGATATTTTTTTTTAAAGGCAACACATCAATTATGCAAGTCGAAATAAGCTATTCCTTGTAAACCGAGAATCACAACTCTATCGTTAATATTTTGCTTTGATATCGAACGAATTTGTTTTTAGTTAGATGCCAATGACTTTAATACAATTGAAAACAAAACAAAGAACAGTGCAATTAAATTTAGATCATATCTCAACTAATACATAATAATTTACAATCAGGTCTTGCTGATAACTAAACTCCTCGTAAACAGTGAACAGATTTTCGATGTTGAAATTTATGTCACTATACATGTGTTTTATATGTAACAACATCAAAGCAATATTAGTATATGAATGATGTATTTTCCTAAGTATAGGTTATTTTTATGAATTGCTTTTTTTTTTATATCGCCTCATCTAGGAACTGAACTGTAAAGGTTAACATCACCAGTATACATACCTGGCGATAAAGTAAAGCCAACAGCGCATTTATTTAAGTAACAGGAACAATCTTCAGCTGATGGTATACAAAAACAATTTTGTTTCGGCTGTTTTATAAATTTATATCCTTTGGTATAATCGCAACGGCAAGCTCTATCTGAAATGAGGGTACCGTTATTATATAGAACTTGACCCTCTCCTTTACATATCGTCTTTTGATACAGGCAAACTCCGCTCACATTTGACCATAATGGGAAAGGTTGATATCGTTCTGACGAACAGTCAACATTTCGACGGCGACCGGTTACTACATATTTTTCGCCTGAAACATAAAAAAAAACAAAAAAAAATCAAAAAAGAGGTAATAGTGTGAATATGTAATTATGTTTTAATATTTCTTAACACTTTTAAACTTTTCAAAGTCCACAAATATGACATATTGCCTTTTTTTTCTTTATAAGAGTTATCTCAACAAAGATGGTTTTATGTGCGCATCTCCTTTGCAACCGTAAAAGAAATCGAAAAATTTATATTCAAAATTGCTCGTTAAAACTTCAGAACGCTTTGTTCAATTTTAACCGGATCGACAGTGAGACTCTATATGCGAGTTATTTTACCTTTTGTCTTTGGCTTAAACGATATAAAAACGTAACTAATGAACTGTAACTGACAGAAGTCCTGATTTGTTTTCGTTGGTCCACCATAAATATCTGGACCCCATGTTTTTAAAACCAGTGTTAAGTAACCTATGTTATGTAAACGGATGTGACCTTCGGTTAACTGGTTATCTCCCTTATCTCAAATGAAATTACATGTAAACCATATAATTTTGGCAGTTCCATGTAAGTTATCAAATGCGACGCAAAGTGGCATTTTCTAAACCGGAAGTCGCAAATTATTTCCCTCATTTGAGACAAAAATTATGAAAAAGTATGAAGAAATCTGTTATTGGACGCCAATAGTTACTAATAGTAAACCGAAGTAACTTTTTATTAATTGTTCAGAAATGTTATGTGGAAAGACCTCTCATTGTTCTCTGAACAATTTGTTTTTATTTTTTGTCTTCCGCCAAATTTTTTTTCTATCGCGGTATTGTTGTGGCTTACATTTTCGGTATAAGATATCGAACAGTTTATACGCTTTTGATACTACTGTGTAACCGTTTTACATTGTAAGAGTTATCTCCGCCAACACTGTTTTTTCTTGTGCATACTACTTCTTCGCAACCATAATCGTTTACGTCAAACTTATATAACAAAGTTGCTCGCTATATCCTAAGGTTCACGTATGATATATTTCCCTCAATTTATGAAAAAAGTATTTTCAGAATAAATGTGAAATCAGCTTTATTATTTTAAATAAATTTGGGTAGAAAGATCTCAATTATTCTCTGAACAGTTGTTTATTTATTCTAGAAAAAGATTTGTTCTAAAAATGAACTTTTTACAGACTGAATTTATTGGTTGCACTTTGTAAATACAGCTGTTTCACAAGCCACGACTCTTTTGGGAAGATATATAATATTTATTGATTTTTTGTTTTGTTTACGTACTGGTTCCCAGATATGACTAAATGTTTCATCTCATAGAGAAATAACTTGGGAATGTTACCAGTATAAAAACAGATTGTAGCGTTGAAAATGAAATCTGAAGAAAACACAAACAAAAGGTAGGAGTAGTACAGCATTTTAGTATAAGTTTAAACTCTTAGAAGTTTTGGGAATATGAATGTTGAAAAAATGCCGCACAGCCCTATGTTTTGACCTTTGAATAAAGAGATAGTGCATATCAACTTTCCGTTCTAGGATATATTTTTTTACCAAACTTCATAGTACATGTCAAAGTTGCACAGCTTTAACCACAAAAGGAGTTCCTATTGGAAATTGCATTGTCTATATTTACAGAAGTTACACCTATATTGGGTGAAAACAGAGAACATATAGAATTTCACCAAATCTGGTTTATCTCATAGATTTTAATAACATTAACTCAAATATAAAGTTTTATAAATATTTCATGAAGATTGAGACACATGTGGAGCAGGATCTGCTTACGTTTCCAGAGCACCTGAGATCACCCCCAGTTTTTGGTGGGGTTCGTGTTGCTTAGTCCTTAGTTTTCTATGTTGTGTCATCTGTACTATTGTTTGTCTGATTGTCTTTTTATTTTTGGCCATGGCGTTGTCAGTTTTTTTTTCGATCTATGAGTTTGACTGTCCCTCTGGTATCTTTTTTCCCTCTTTGAGAAAATCCAGGGCCTTAAATATGATGACTCGGTATAAATTCACAGTTTATAGTATGCATAGTTTATTTAAAGCCCTGAATGCAAAATAAAGTCATAATATATGCATATTTGTAATTCAAAATGTTAAGAAGTGCTTATATTTACTCTTCGCATCCATTGAAACTCATAGATCCTTGCTGAATATTGTTGTTGGGTGTTTTGTCCTGTCGATAACCCACCAGTTAGCCGTAACACCTGAATTTGTTTTTGTGACCGCGGCAGATGAAATACAAGCTACACATACAAAAATACCTTTATAAAACTAACAATGGTGTGTTCTATCATAAATGTGTACTAAATATTCAATATTCACAGAAACAGCAGAATAATTTAGCAAATTTGAGGCCCCAGTGGCAAAAAAACAGAGAAAAATGCCTACCCCTTGGGTCATAAAACAGATAATTTAACCTGCAAATGCTATGATTTTATCAGTTTGAAGGACATTTGTATATTAAAGAATAACTGTACTTGGAAGTTATACAAAAAACAGATGTTAGCAGTTAGTTTTATAAAACCTTTAGGAATTCATACATCCGACTGGTATCTTCATAAATACAACTTTTGCAAATATGGCTTTGTTTGAACATTCTAGTTCATATATAAGCTAAATTATGTAAGAAATATGGTAGAGATGATATTGTTGTGACAACATTTCTGAACTGACCATTTGAGGCAGAAATTGTGAACTTTTATTGACAAATAGGCACACAGTAAGATGTGGACTGGAGACAGAGACAGGATTGAATACTTTATATAATCTTGAATGTTGGAATGATTAATTACCAAACGTTACATTTATAGTATTCTGAAATGCGTTCAATTTGTAATCACAATAGTTTCAAATAGGTTCTAGCTATTTCATCTCAGCAAACATGCACATTGGGTAAACTGACAGTAATTAAAGTCTTGTTTCTGAAATCTTTAAAAAATAAAACAGGGGTTTGGGTATAAAATGTACTGTAAAAGAAAAGTTATAGTATATGCAGTTATATCTTTAAGGCTATAATTCTGATAAATAAGTATTGTTGTGAGAAAAAGTGTTTTTCAAGAGTTTTCTTTTTGAATACATGTTAGTATAGGTTGCACTTTGTAAATACAGATGTTTCACAAGGCACGCCTCTTTTGGAAAGATAACTAATATTCATAGATATTTTGTTTTGTTTACGTACTGGTTCCCAGATATGATCTCTATTTTTCATCTCATAGAGAAATAAGCTGGGAATGTTACCAGTATAAAACAGATTGTAGCGTTGAAAATGAATTCTGAAGAAAACACAAACTAAAGGTAGGAGTAGTACAGAATTTTAGTACATGTTTTAACTCTTACAAGTTTGGGGCATATAACTGTTGAAAAAATGCCGCACAGCCCTATGTATTGACCTTTGTAAAAAAAAGTAGTGCATATTGACTTTCCGTTCTAGGATATACATTTTTACGAAACTCCATAGTAAAAGTGGCTCAGCTTTAACCGCAAAGGTAGTTCCCATGGGAAATTGCATTGTTTACATGTACAGAAGTGTAACATATAGCTATCTATGATGAATGACGTCGTTCGGTATTCAGGGGGAGTGACCGAACACAATATGTATATGATAAGTGCATTGATTTATGTGCTTTTCGAAATTTGATACTTTTTCATATTTGTTCGGACAGTTTTTTTATTTAATCAATATACATGTAATAATATTAACGATATCGATTTTACAGCATCATGCGCATTTTGACAATTAATTATATATCAGTGTCACACCGGAAGCTCTAGACACAGATGTAGGCTATGGAACGCCACAGCTGCCTTATGTGGTACTCTGATATTATGTTGTATTTGTACATCATAGCTTGACGATATTTTCTCTAAACATAATAAGGTTTTGGCATTACATAATGATATTTTGATACAACTCAATATGAATTAGTCATTACTTTATGATATTTCGATATCACAGGATATGGTTTCGTATTGCCTTGATATAGTTTTGTCATTACATAATATGGTCTTATCATTACTCGACGTGGTTTCACCATAATTTAATGTGGTTGTTTCATTATGCATTGTGATTTTATCATTCGATGATGTTTATATGGCTTAACGTAATGTAGTTGTTTAATTGCATGATGTGGTTTTCTTATTTCGTAATGATGAAAGGCCAATTTTTTGTATGGCTTTAACATTCAATAATATTGTTTCAAAATGTTACAATTTTACACTACATGGTGTGTTCGTTCCAGTAATGGGTGTGGTTCTGTCATTCTTTGATGTCGTTATCATATTACTTGATGAGTTAAAACCACGTGATCATTTGGGAAAAACAAGTTCTATTTTTAAAACAGATTTCCAAGTTTTACGTGCCTCGGATGAGTATGGCCATCCATCGAGCTAGAGTTTAAATTAAAATTTCGAGTGAGTCTTTGATTTCGAGTTAGAATTCAAGAATTAAATTTCGAGTTAGCACTGAGTTTCGAGTTGAATTCGACTTCACCTTTGAATTTGAGACACCTTTTGAGGTAGAGTTCGAGTATCACTTCAAATGTGAGTCTCATTAGACTAAGATTAAGAGTTCGTATTTGATTTTTCTTTCACGGACCATAGACTTTTGCATGAATTTCAGAAAAGAGGGCGTAGGAGTATGTGTATACAAGATAAACAATGTAACAGTGTACACAACACAACATAGAAATCTAAAGAAAATTAGGAGATGTGGTCTGATTGCCAATGAGACAAATATCCACCATAGTTTGAATACATTGGATGTAAGAAATTATAGGCAACCTTACGGCCTTCGCCACACCGTAAAGTTGGCAAAAGTAGGCCACCACGTGAAAATATGAAACAATAAAAACGAGAGCAAACTAACGGTCTAATGTATAACAAAACAATTTCCGAAAAACAAATATGACAAACATTAACCAACGACAACCATTGAACTACAGGTTCCTGACTTGGGACCGGAACATAACGAGTGTGGCGGAGCAAAACATGTCTGTGAGCGATCAACCCCTACCCTCACCTGGGACAGAAGTATGAAAGTACAACATAAAA